ATGCCATATATCACAAGTAGTTGGGAGTAGGGCTGTAAATGGATCGAATATGCCTATATCCGATCCGATAAGATAATCCAACGAATATTTGATTGTTAAATCCATATTCGATTTGCTATGTTATCGGTTATCCGATCCGAAATTAATAAAAATTAGGAAAAAAAATCAATGTCGGAATCAAATCATCTTTCATTAAACGAAAAATTGAAAATCGTCAAATAAACCGTTAAACAGGTCGGTTAACCGTAAATCGAAAAATCGGACCAAATAAAATGATTTTATGTTCTTTAAAAAATTTTAAATTAACTTGAGGCTCACCAATTTTTACCAGCAAGCCCAATAGTGACTTCTACTATCATGATATTCCTTTTTAAATGAGAGATCATCTTCTAGTTTTCTATTGACATTCGATGTGGGATAAGGTAAAATTGAATTTCAATTCTAAATAAAAATATTTTATTTCATTATTTTCATTAACAAATCAAATTATTTGTTACATATTAATTATTAGCTTAAGGTAAAATTAATTTCAATTCTAAATATTAATATTTTATTTCTTTATTTTCATTAACAAATCAAATTATTTGTTACATATTAATTATTAGTTTTTGCAGTTGTAAAATAAATTACAATAATAAATTTAAAAAACTATATTGTTTTTATAATATTTTACATTTATGTGTATATGTATATATTCAATTTGACAACCGTTTCGATACCGATTCGTTCCCGGTTCGACTTTTTGACCTTTGACCATCTTCCTTTTCCGGGTCGATGTCCGGGTCAGTTGTTAAAACATTGGTTAAAATCAATTATTTTTTTCAAATTTTTCAATTCTTAAACATGTTTAATAATTATAAAATTTTCAACTTTTTTATGTTTTGAATTTGATTACTTTTTTATTCTAAATTTATTTATTTTCTCATTTATTTATTTAGTGACAAATAATATGTCATAAAAATATTTTATCGACTCAATTATTTATTACAAATCGGATCGAATTGTTATCGGATCGAATTGACCTATATTCCATATTTGATTAATTTAGTTAACGGATTATCGGATTTGAATCTTGATCGAGTTAGCGGACTAAGACCCCAAATCCATCTCCCATTAATTTCGTCGAATTCGGATCAAAATTCAATCCAATGACAGCCCTAGTTAGGAGAAGCATGTGAGAAATGTGATCAACTGAATCTTATGAAAGTGATAAACAACTAAGTGAAAAGTAGCCACGTGTTATAGGATTATTTAGAATTGTAATATTTTATAGATCAGTACTAACCATGCGACACATGTTTTAAGTAACGGTAAAAGACCAATAAATGTATAAGTTAGAGAAATATATAAATACCTCAATAATCTACTTAAAAAAAAACACCAGTATCGGAAACCTTAGCCAAATGTTTGCTCTCTATATCTTGGTACTTTACTTGATGGCAATCACCATCAGAAAACTCCTCATCGGAGCTCCGGTGGTTGAAAAGAGATCTAAGAAGGTGATTAAGAGAGGAGGTGGCCAATAATTTGTTGGTCTACATGTTTGAGATCAACAATTCATATGTATGTTTTGACACAGTAAATTCGACACTTCTAGACCGTCAAGGGAAAGAAATGTGCTGTATAATCTATCAAGGTTATATATCATTTTTACCCTATCCTTTGTCCAATATGACAACTCAGACTCCATAAAAATGAGATTCACTTATCTATAACTATCGACTTTATGTGTCATTTGTTAGCATGTATATTCAACAATTCTTAGTGCTTTCTGTTCGAATTAACAATTGTCAAAAGGAGATCCAATTTTCTGAAATCTTTGAATTATTGTATTTCCCGAGAATTTAAATACGTAATAACTTTAATTGAATTGTTTTCTACTTATATTTGTGTATAAATTGTGTTTGTAGGTAAAACCAGACTCATAGTGGAATTGAGCAAAAATGAGATCAATCGGAGATTAATTGAGCAAAAAAATGTTGAATTGAAGAGCTGCGGGGAAGTTGATTGGAAGCTCTGGAATAGTTGGATGGATGAACTAACTAGTTTTGGGACCATATTCGACATTTGAAGAGTATGGGAAATGAAATTGGACGATACTGGAACTTTGAGGGTCAACTTGCACATTTGGAACTTGAAAGACCAAATTTCAAGAAATTAAAAGTTGAGGAACCAAAATGAAGTATTTTAAAATTTAGAGGACCAATTTGGACTTAACAAAGTTGAAAGTTGAGGGACGGAAATTGCATAAACCAGAAAGTTGGAGGATCAAAGTGCACACTTTTGGAAAGTGAGAACTGTGGTGGTCCGAGGCATTGTGCAACCGCAACTGAAATTACTTGGAAAGTCCATGCAAATCTATTTGCCGCCGTACACCCTCGGCAATTGATCAGAAGTGGTGGCCGACAAGAAGGGACCTGATTTTTGAAGTTCAAAAAAATGGCACTTTGGGTTATTCGATGGCACGTCTTTCAAGTCATATTAAAGACTATATAAAGAAAAAATCTTGGTCAGTAATCACACCACGACATAGAGAATAACAACATAATCTTTGAGAGAAAAATACAAGGCAAATTCTACGTTTTGGGAGATTTCAAGGAAGAATGAGGATTCCAGCTTCGTGCAAGATTGTTCTTCCATTTCTTTCTATCAAATATGTTGAGGTACTTAACTTATTTTTTGTGTTTATTAACGATGTTTTGATCGTGTCCCTAACTCACTCAAAATGTCTACGCCGGTCCTTGAAGAGAATGACCTTCCCTATCAAAAGAAAAGGACGAACTCCAATTCTCCTAAGTATATATATATCACACACATGTTATATATGTGCCGTACCAATTACAAGAACTGCATATTGTCTATAAAAATCCTCAAATAAACAACAAAATGAATTTATATATTAAAAACTAATAAATGTATTTTGTACACTTATCTAAACCATTAAATTAGAGTATTTGTTAGTGATTTGGATGCGTTATAACTTAATTTTGTGTTAATTATGTTTGTTAAGTTGAACTAAATGCAAAATGGTGGATTTAGAAGAAATGAATGAAAAACGTATGAAAAACGAAGGAAATCTAAAGTTTGGGGACCATAGTGTAAACATTCAATATTTGATTCGGAGCACAAACCGGTGATTGAAGATCATATAAGATCAATTGAAAGCAATTGGAGGTCGAATGAGTGAAATATAATGGAAATATTTTCACAAGTCAATTTCCAAACGAAGAAATTATGCTCCACATTTTTAGCCTCAACTTGAGACCCATTTTCCGAATAGCGTCGAAATTGGAAAAATTGTATTTCTATAAGCATTGTAACTCTTTGAATTACCTTTCCAAATAATTTTGAATCAACTCAACGAATACCTGCAGAGAAAGTTATGACAAAAAAATCAAAAGCTACTCAAGGACGAACCGAAGCCAACCTGCGCGCGCACGCAGGCAATTCATGGAGCACGCGGGGCACTCTATTTTCCCCAACCCGAGAGCCATTTGGTTCTACGGCGCGTGGGCGCTAGTCATATCGGTGCACTACTGGCCATTCTGCAGATGAATCTTTAGTTTCATTTCGCGATTCAAACTCTTTTGGAAATCAAATTGAACGCAATTTTGACATATTTTATGGCTCTTATAAATAGAGAACGAGGGCTACACATTTAAAAAAAAAACCTCTTTTTCCTCTTCATACACAATAGTATCATCAAATTCATCAAGAATAAGGGGCTAATTGCTATATTTTGATAGAGGAGATCATGCTTTAGCAAGGAATTGAAGGTTAATTACATCAAGATTTTGGAAAATTCAACATTGGCCTTGAAGATCAACTTTTTTTGATTTATTTTATGATCCGGATGATATTTTTCTAATTTTTTTTTTTTTGTAATTTATATATTAATATGTTAGACTAGATCCTTTTTTTGTTGGATGAAGATGAACCTTATTTGTTATTTGTTTTAATTCAAGATTAGTAGTTTTATTTATTTATTGTGTTTCTTGATTAATATTGCGTACCAATTGCATTATTTAATTGATTGGCTACCAATTAGATAATTTGTTGCTTGTTGTAGTGTTGAAAAACTCACAATAAATTTAGAATGCGGTAAAATTAACATATGTGCAATAGGTGTTAGAAATAACATATATCACTTGTGCAATATATAGATAATCTAAACTTTAATGCATTCGAATCATTCGAATTCGGGCTATGAATAGATTCGGATTGTGATTACGATAGATTTAATTTGTCTTGAAAAAGAAAATTATATATCATAGTTGTATTCATTGTCAAGAACGCATAAACGAAATTAGATTACAAATCAAGAATTGAAATAAACAGCAATAGACGGATTCGGAATCCAATACAGTCATCAATCAATTGATAAAAAAACATATTTTTTACTGTTTTCTTAGATTAATTAAACAAAAAAATAAAATCAAACTCTTTTTTAAACACTTGAATTGAATTTATTTCCTATGGAACGATACTTTCAACTCATCAATTCTATTAATTATCAACAATCCCGTACGCGTGCAGGGTTTTGCACGAACAGAAACCTAAATAAGATTAAGAAGGAAATAAACTACCAACTACAATTTAGTTAAACAATAACAACTTGAACTATGTTCCATTTGTACTATAGCAGATTCAATGGTAGNTTGGTAGACAATTTTTTTTTTTTTTTTTATGTTAAAGAAACATTTTTGCGTAAAAAATTTAAAATTTATATGGTTTATACATGCTATAAATTAAATTAAAAAGTTCGGGCTCGGCTCGAGCTTTTTTGGGCCCGAGCCAAGCCGAGTAAAGTCAGGTCAAAAAAATGAGGCTAGAGCCGAGCCGAGCCCGAGCAGACGAGCTTTTTTGCCATCCCTAGTAGAAGTTGGGTATAATGTCAAACATAAAGGAGTATATACAAAAATTATACACTATTATTCAACTTTTGAATAATAACTAAAAAAATAACCTTTACTGAGTAAATATAGTAATGACCCAATTATTCATTTCTCAACTACTTCAAGATTTTGAAATAATCCTGCTGAGTGAGGCAGCTGGTTGATGGTGGGTCCTGCAAAATTGCTGAAGAGGATTCACTTCTCAGAAACTCTAATCAAATCCAAGATTGAATGGGATAGTTGCATTTGAAAGAATTTACACCACTTATGTGTGCAAATATGTCTGAAGAGTCTACTATATCCTCTTCTTTCACCATCACCTACATGCCGAAGAAAAAAAAACTTTTAAAAAAATCACTCACGTTGAATGTACAAATATGACATCGAGTTATTAGGTTCATATGAAAAGACACTATAACATTGGATAATGTAAGAAAGAAACATAAGTTAATGTTGAGGCATGTCATGTCGAGTACTACAAATCAAACATTCCGTGAATGTTGTTGTTGCGGGGGATAGGGCACCGGGGTGGGGGGCCTGAGGTGGAGGAGAAGAAACATGGTAAGAAGAAGGTTATGCTGGAATTTTACCTTGTCTTGGTGGTGAGGGATCTGAGTTGCAAACAGACTTACATCTTCATCTGTGTCTTCTTCATGGTTGCTACTAGCAGTTCTTGCAGCCTCATCAATTTCATCATTCTTGGCAAACCTTCCTCTAACACGAGGCCTGCTGTCTGCAAGTGTTTTGCGACACGCATACTGCAAATATATTTGACCAAACTATGTTTGTCAATTCCTATAAACGATATTGAATACATATTTTCTATGCAAACATGTTTAAATGAGTTACATTTATTTATTTATTTATTTATTTATTTTAACTTTAGTAACATTTTTTTCTTCGAAAACAATGACTTATAGGCCACGGTAAATAAGACTACCAAACAACAAACCCAACTTTTCATTTGAATATTTTCCTCAATCAAGTCTAGTCTTGTCCTTTCAACTTCAATACATGTTGATGTGGAATTTTATTCTAAAAAGGATTCTTGTGGTCTCAGTGGCACCAGAAGGTTCTCGATTGAAATAAAAATGAATTTGAGAAAAGAAAGGGCTTCCTATTAATCCGGTAGGCTGCTCATTTGAGATAAAAATAAGTAAAACCTTAAACTAACCGAGTGAATAGCCTTTTGTTTTGCCAAGTTAATTTACTATAGATACCTTAAATGCTCTATATGGGTTTCACGACTTTGCTGCGCATTTATCGTGGAACATTGACACTTATCACAATACTAGGTGATAAAAATAGAAATATGGGCATGCATACATGATAATATATCATATGGATTGACACTTACATGCATACATATACATGCAATTACTTCATTAAGCCTCCGTTTGTGATGGGAGGATTTTATACACGGTTTAATTTATAAATATATAAAAAAGAGTGATGGATAAGTACCCAGTTGTGGGTGGTCGAAATGAAGTTTAATAATTTATAATTGATTTATAATTTTTGCCAAACGAAAGCCAGAGTAGAGAGATTGGGAGAGAGACCTTAATTTTCTTACTGAAATTCCTTTCATTTCTTTTCTTCATGTATCTATGGATTTTCTTTTTCCTTTCTTCGACGGAGAGTTTCCCCACCTTGAAAGTAGAATCTTCCAAGCTCGAAATCTCTGATGCCAAAGGAGTAGAATTTGGATCTCCATGGGCCATATGCTGGTTCTCGTTATTAAATGCCTTAATTTTTAAAAACAAAAATGAGAGCATAAATAATATATTAATTTTAAAATATTACAGAGGACTGGACGTAGGTATAGTTATATTGTACCTGAAGATCACTAGAGCAGTTAAAGAGCCTTGATATGGTGTCAGGGAGGAAGAGTCCACCATCATCACCCTGGAAATCCGGTTCTTGAGGTTGAAGTTTAGTTCCCATAAGCAAACTACTCCCAGTGAGAATTCCAGAATTTTCAGTAGAAAATGGCGGATTAATGTTGCCTGCAGGAAGGTACTGTCCCATAATCGGATCCATAATTCCGTAGGAAGGCAAAGAAGAACTCAACCGCATGTAGGAAGGCATAGAAGATAAGCATTCTTCATCGTAAGCAGTTGGCAGTGGCGGAAGCCCCAGGAGTGGCACCGGAGGTGGTGGCTCAGGAGGGTAGTGAGACATTGATCCATCCACAACATCTCCAGCAGAAATCTGGTTATTCAGCGACAAAAATTCAAATTGTTCTTGATTATTGTTGTTGTTGTTGTTGTAGTATTGAGGAACTGAAAAGGTTGGAGAAGGGGTGAAATCTATGGATGCAGAAATATCGTTATCAATATCTTCAGCAGAGTCGAATATTATGGAGAAGTTGCCGTTGTTTTTAGTGTTGGTGGGGGAGATGGTGGAGGTGACAGTGGGCTCGGAAGGGCTGGTCGTGAAGGGGACAGAAGGGGTGGCCGTCATGGCAGCCGCCACCCGCTTCATGTCATGCTGCAGAGTAAGATTCATGGTACTGGTGAAATTACTCATATCTGTGGTAATGGAAAGATTTGCTGGATATGAAGTGTGATCTTCATAGCAGCAATTTGAGCTTGAAGCAACTTCAGAATTTTGTAGGGTTTCTGGAAATAATTCAGACTCGCAAAATTCCAAAATTTGAGCACCAAGTGGGCTCCCAATTTCTTCCTGAAAAAGAAATGGAAAAAAAAAATTAAATTTTTGGTGACAAAAAATATTGATTAGAACATATGAAATAAAATGTCTCAAGGCAATTCATTATAAATATACATACACACACGTATACGCAACGAATATTTTCATTGAAAATGCACGCGGGTGCACGAGAAAATGCAAACATTCAATCTACTTAGATGGTTTTGCTTTCCACGCACTAAAAACTTTCTAAATTTTATCAAATCAAAATAATTTTCATGAAAGGGATCTTGTTGATGATAGATATCTTTTTAACACAAAAAAGGTAAGTGCATTTGTGCTCCATGTGACATGCACCAATTCATAATTTGAACTTAAAATCTATTTTTCGACAACATATGGGGAACTTTTAAAGAACTATAATAACGTATTATATCATACATGTGTAGTACTTTCCATTAAGTTTAAGTTCCTTTATCAAAAAGCAATAAGCTGGAAAAGCTAAATATTCCATTAGGATTCAAACGAAATGGATGACTTGGTAGAAAAATATTTTCTAAATGATAATTAATTCTTGCTTAATTGGCATAATCCATTTACTGATTAACAATTTCCACAAACAAAATATGAGCAAGAAATAGATAAAAGGCTTCAATTAAAACCATTTGGAACATAAAGGGTTTCTTGGAAAAACATGTATACGTAATTATCAATTTGTATAATTAATCTAAATATAAGTTAGAAATGATAAAAATGTTTCAAAACCATTTAGAACATAAAGGGTTTCTGAGAAAAACATATTAATATACGTACGTAAGTATCTGCATACGTGTGTGTGTATATATATATATGTGTGTGTGTGTGTGTGTTTGCCAACATGCACAAAAAAGATATAAAATAGAAGAAACAACATAAATAAATGCATGCACATTCAAGAAAATTGAAAACAATTACAAGAGGAAGCTGTTCTTGTGGATGAACCAAATTCTGCAACATTGTTTTTCTTTATAAGCCTTGAAGATCTGCTTCCCTAGCTAAGAAAAAGGAAAATATTAATTCTCTCAAAACTTTGTTTTCTAAGCTTGGAATTGGAACGAATGTCTAAAAAAAAAAAACTAAAGAGAGAGAAAGACTCACTGCTTCAATTAGCATGGGTAGAGGGGACGAGAGAGAAATTAAGAGAGGAAAAAACTCGGTGCGTATAGCATGGAATGGACATTAAATTTTGGTTTTTTAACGGGGAAACTAATGTTTGTTATATAGTATTGAGGGATGTCGTACATTGGAGTCAATCCTAGGTTGTTGGTGGACCACACATTACACCCCTATGTCTGCCTGGCTGGAATTTTTAACAAGCCAATATTATGGTGACACCTAGATTTTGTAGGTTTTGCTGACATGGCAATAGGGGCTGAATTTTCATGAAACAATTTTTCATATTCCATCTCTCTCTTTTTGTTGAATAATTTCTCTATAGGAAGCCAAGCCGCAACCATGAATGGTCATTTTCGAATAATGTGAAAAGAATATAAGTAATGGTGTCCTGACATCATAGCTATGTGCACTTTTTGGACGCTGGACCATGATCGAGAGTGTAGAGAATATAAAAAATATTATTGTCCTGATATCTTAGTTATTATAATATGTAGACGAGTTGAGCATGGGTTATTTTTCGACGGTCGACCTTGATCGAGGTTTGCCTGGAACTTTTGGGCGCAATAAGTCAATGTCGACTGATAGAGCCATGTTGGTTGCTAGTGCTCAAGGTCAACCTAAAGCGCGTTTTCGGCGCTGATATTCGACTTTGGTCAAAAAGGCCCCTTTTGGGTAGCAACTGTCTACTTCGGCCAAGGTCACATTGGCCTTCCATAATCCCTTTCTGGGTAGCAGTTGTATGGCTCGGCCAGGGTCACATTGGCCTTCCATAATCTTGTTTTTGAGACAAAGTAAGGTGGTTCTCACTTGCCTACAATGATCCAATCGTTGCATGTCACCACTATATGGAATATCACTATGAGTCAATCATCAGACATCATCACTATACAAAGTACTAGTATCATAGATTTCGAATTTTAAACAATTACATTTTAAAAGATAGTCTCGTGGTATCATTCATTATGGCTGTCACAACATCACACATTTACAAATCCTTTATGCATAACATAGTTTAACACTGCTTAGTTGAGAACCATGAAATCCTTTTACAACTCATCATTTTCTTATAAGGTTTAGTGCATTAGCCCTATGGGGGCTCTCTACAAATATTTCAATTAACCATTTTCATTTCAATGTTCATTGAAAGCAATTAACATTAGGGAAAATTATACTAACGATCCCTAATCTTTTCATTTTTTGCAAACTTTATCCTAACCTTCATTTTGTGCTAGCGGAGATCCCTAATATGCAGCTGGAGTCCTTTTCGACTAAAACCATCCAAAACATCGTCATTTGACCTGAAAAATTAAAAAAACAGGTATATTGACCTTTTTAAGAATGGGTAATTTCATCCAATCAGTATTTCTCATTTGATTTAAAAATTGAAAAGTAACAAATTATTTCCCACTAACATATTCACGTTACACTGAGAGAAAAAGAAACGATCATCTTCAATAATGTCCGGTGAAGAAAGTCATGAATCTGATGATAATGTTAAAGATATTGCTTGTCAAATACGAGGCCATCTTCCTGAACTTGTCTACAGTGAGTATTTTTGTATTTTGGAATTTTTAAAAATAATGGGGCTCTTTGTTACGCACTGACTCGTGATGTTGTTTCTTCTTCTGCAATATTATATGTTTTTTTTATTATTTTATAGATTTGGATGTATCATAAAACGTGCAATAGCTATGGGTTCACATTATGCATCATGTACTATGAAATGAGGGTTTGGGCCCGATGATCATTTTCATTGAATTTGTTTTACAAGGGAAAATTCTACTTGTTTCATCATAAATCTACACCATGGTGGCATATTATTTGTCGAGATACGTAATTTTATGTACGAGCATGGTAAGATAGCATATCTTGATTACGTAAATTTGGAGTGGTTTAATAGATTTATATTGGATAACGCCTTGAAGATGCTAGGATACCCAAAAAAATAAGGTATCTCTGTAAGGTTGAAAAGAAGAGAATTAGTGGGGCATCGTTCTACTTGGTGAAGGATGTAGACTTCATGAATTTAATGAAGTTGCTTAGGGATAAGAGGATTTCTGAGTTGTCGCGTTTGCTTGTAGTTGAAGTATTGGAATTGTCATGGTATTAAAACGTGAGAGATATTTTAGTTTTAGATGTTAACACAGGTGAGGTTTTTGAAGGTTCAAGGCCCACATTCAAAAGATGTTACATATGCTTGAGGGCTTGCAAAGAAAGATTTAGGTCAGGGCCTGAGATTGGTTTGGATGGATGCTTCTTAAAAAGTGAACAAGGTGGACAATTGTTGGATGGAGAGAACTATATGTACCCTATTGCATGGGCAGTAGTGGATGTTAAGAACAAAAGAAATTGTGAATGGTTTATAGAACTTTTGATTGTTGACATTGCGATGTATAATAGCAGGGCTTGGACCAATTTCTTATAAACAGAAGGGATTGGTAGACTCCATTAACAATTTCTAGGAATGAATTGAGCATAAGTGTTGTGCAAGATACCTGTACGGTAACTTCACTTTGATGTATAAGAGTCTGACGCTGAAAAGTCTTTTTTGGTCTACAATAAAGGCAACAACTGTGCTAGAATGGAAGAGTGTAATAACTGAAATGAAAGAAGTTAATGAAGAAGCCTTCAGGCGGTTCAATGAGAAACCTGCCTCACGATGGACCAGATTACTTTTTTAGGAGCATAGTAAGTGTGACATTCTACTTAACAACTTAAGTGACGCATTCAACTCTTCCACTGTTGTTGTAAGATAAAAGCAAATTATATCACTATTGGAGAAGATTAGACACCAATAAATGATGAAAATGAATAAAAAAAAAGGGAGGCAGCACTTTTAGATTGTACCTTTGGTCCTAGAAGTATAACTATAATTGAAAAATCAAAGATGGATGCAAGATATTTGAAGGTAGATTATGTTGGAGGTGAGAAGTTTGAGGTTAGCAATAGAAATTATATGATATGGAATGTGGACTTGGCAAGAATGGAATGTGTATGTAGAAAATGGAAACTTATTGGAATTTCTGTGCTCATGCAATCTCTGGCATGCTTTCTAAGAACATTGACATATATAAGTACATTAATGCATGATACACCAAGGAAGCTTATCTCAGGACCTACAGCCCAACCATCTAACCAATGCCAAGTCCTGAGTTATGGCCAGAACTTAGTAGGCATTCTCTTGATCTACGTATAAAAAAAAGAAAAGAAACAGGTAAGTAGACCAAAGAAGATGAAAAAGGTCAAAAGTTGAATCACCTACAGATACAAATTGCAAGAACGAGTATGAAAATGACATGTAGAAGATTTAGAGGAATAAGTTATAACAAATGAACATGCACAACCTCATTGCCTATAGATGCAAGTTTCCAGCATCCTCAGCAACAATCACAGCCAAAATCACAAGGCAAGAAAAAAGTACCTACTTCCAATGAGTCTCAAGCACAAGCAAACAAGAACAGCAAGGAAAAAAGAACTTTACTTGTACTGCATCTGTGATGTCTTAGACTACTTTTTGTGTTGCTATGATCTTTTGAAAGGGATTAATAACATTCTAGACCAAAGATGATCTTCTGATATTTTTGACAAATATGAACTTGAACTGCTATTTTGACGATGTACATTTCAATTGAAGATGAGAGAAAACTCAGCATTGCAATCCTTATTTCAGTGTTATACATTCGATTCTATGCTTTATATATATATATATATTGGAAGTGAAAATGGAAATGGTCAAACCGAACATTGTCTAAGAATTTTATAAATGGTTAAGGACCTGAGATACAACTAATTAAAACGTTTGGTACTTCAGTTGCAACTTTTTTTAAAGATTTGGGACTTCTGATGCAATTGGTTCAAAACGTTTGGGACTTCTTTTGTGACAACTGGAAAACATTTGGGATTACCTCTGAGACTTATGGAATTTTTTTGGGATCATCGCTGCATCATCTTCATAACATTTTCCAAACAAAATTTCCCTTCTATTTCTGAATAATTCATTCTCAGCAAAGAAGATGAACATAAAAGAAATAAATATTGAAGCACAGCTGAATAATAACATGTTTTATTACTAAAAAAATAAGTTAGAAGACAACAAATCACACGAATAAGACCCACATCACAACACAGAAACCCAACATCTTAGCTCAAACCTAACCTATATCTAGATACAGTCTCATTTCTCTAAAACTCCACATATAAATCCAATGAGCCAAAACTTCCATGCAGTACAACTCTTGAATGGAGGGTATTTATTTCATGTTCCTTGTCTCTTCTAACCCATAGAAGTCCAAGAATCAGCTCTTTTGATTTCTCACACATTGGCAGGTCAACCCACTCGAAGACATTACATCCACTCTCATCTTGACATCGTGGACAGCTGACAAACCTTCTTCCTGAATTCAAGTTTGTCCATGAAGTCTTCATCTCCACAGAAAACCCCATCTACAGACATTCATCTCCATCTCCTTTCTGAAAAACAGTTAATAGAGGTGAGAGAGAATAAATATTCAACGATGTGGAGGGAAATGTACAGTAATTTGAACAGTATCAAAGGAAAAATACTGATTAAATGAAATCGCCCCTCCTTAAAAGGGTTAATATACCTGATTTCTTAATTTTCCAAGTCAGCTGATGGTGTTTTGAAAGGTTTTCGTCCAATGAGACCCCAACTACATATTTATGGAAGGTTAGGGACCTCTTTTGGCACAAAATAAAGGTTAGAGTAAAATCTGCAAAAAATAGAAAGGCTAGGAATCGTTGTTACAATTTTCCCTTAACATTATGATATGAGACATCATATTCCTACAACAGCAAGAAAAAATTGGTTAAATCTTCTATTT